TTTTTTTTCTAAAATTATTCTGTGATGTCGTATTTTATTCGGAAAGGGGAGGGGCGGAAAAAAAAGCTTTTCTATCCGCTCTCAGCTTTTATCTGCCCGAGAGGCGAATATTCACACTGTGGTTTGCCTTTTTATACGCTGTGTCGCACCGACGCGTTCTTACTACGCGTTATTCCGCCTGCGGGCCCGGCGATGATCGCGCAAGGCCTTCATGCGTTATGAACGTTGCCGCTGCGGTGTAAAAAGCCGCAGTGATGAGCTGGTCTACACCAAATGGACAATGCAGCTTGTCCATCACTTGAAAGTGGCTGCGAATCTTATCCCAGCCTCGCCATGCGAAGTGAGCCGAGTCACTCCGACTCTCGAGCGCATTGCCTCACAATGAACACTGACTCGATCGTTTCCTCGAATGATTTCGCGCGTCGCTCTTTCCCGCCGGTGAAAAGGAGAACAGCCGGCGTCAGAAGAATCTCGTGTGCGAGAAATTCGACCAGCTGTACACCATCCTGGAGGACAAAAAGCGCGACATGAGTCTCAAGGTGACGGCCGAGCAGGAGGAGAAGGTCAGCTACATCAGGAACCTGACCAGGAAGTACGGAGACCATCTGGAGGAGAGCTGCAAGATTGTGGAGAAAGGGCTGGAGATCATGGAGGAGCAGGAGATGGCCGTCTTCCTGCAGGTCGGACTTCGTAAACGATGGCCGCGATCCGTTTCTCCCGGTCGCTGACTCCCTTTTCTTTCTCTCTCCTAGAACACAAAACCCCTCCTGAAACAGTGAGTATGACGAGGTTGATAGAAGAAGCGAAATTGAAGCAACACGTAGCCTCTTTTCGCACTTAGGCTAGCGGAAGCGTGTAGCATATCGCACCTGGACAAAGTGGAGCGAGGCTACGAGAACATGGATCACTTCACCGCCGATTTCCGGCGAGAGCGCAAAGCGTTGGGCAGCATCGACTTCCTCCAAGGTAACGTGGACGTCAACGCCGCGTCACGTCTTTCCCTCTCTCTGACACCTCTCCTCCTGCAATAGACGACGATGATGACGAGGAGGAGGATGAGGACGAGGCGGCGGAAGGAGAGGTGGCGGCGCCTGCGACCTCCGCCGCTAGCACGCCCGCCGTTTCTTCCGTACCGCCGCTTCCTGCCCCGACCACGCAGACAAATCCCGTCCCCGTCGCAGCTAAGAGTGCGGCGTCCGCCTTGAGCGTTGCCCCAGTCGGTCAGAACACCCTGGGGGCGGGGCAAAAGTGACAAAGATAAACCAAGTGGAAAGCACAATGACTGAACTTGTTAACCCCCCCC